ATGCAAGCTGAGGCTGAGGAAGCCTGAGGCTGAGGCCGAGGCTGAAGGCAGGCTGAGGCTGAGGTTGAGGCAGGTTGAGGCTGAGGCTGAAGCAGGCTGAGGCTGAGGCTGAGGCAGGCTGAGGTTGATGTTGAGGCAGGCCGAGGCTGAGGTTGTGACTGCGACTGCCGTCGCCGCTGCGACTGTCATCGCGACTGCGACTACGACTGCGAAAAACAGCAGAATTCTACAACTGGATGCTCATATGAAATCTTCGGGGGAATGCTTCCAAATATGCTCCTACACATCGTTGTTCGGTTGCTTTGCCAGGATAGTGTGGCTCTCGCCGCAGCGCAACACACCTTCGTCTTAAGAGTTTGCAGCACAGCATCAGATCGTGCAGGTCCTCCTACGGGCGGATTCTTGGACGAAAAATAAAACAGTGTCTGAGAATAGTCCAAAATGGTCACAAGAAAAGGTCGAACAGTCGTCCCCATATAATGTTATGATTACTCTTGAACATTCCTCCTGTTTAAGCCCGAGATAAGCGCAGCATGTGTTGGCACGATGTCGGAACGTCAGGGCACAACGATCACGTTGATTCGCGGTGTTGAAGTCCCAAGAAAGAGTACCATGCACGATTCAGGATCGTCAAGGCGCAACAGGAACGGGGATCCGCGGCGTCGGCGCCCCAGGATGGCGTGCTGGCCAAAGTTCCCGAGTTCCCGACGGTTGTTTTCCAACGGACCACTTCCCTCAATGATAATGAACCGTTGTAAGGGCCTATGACGAGGGAACTTGGAAAGAGAGTGCATTGCAGCATCGTTGATGGATCTTGGGCTTACACTGGCCCTCCGTCTCTCCCTCCTCCTCCTCTTCTTCCTCCTGAACTACAAACTTTTGCCCACTATATTGTCTTGCATCCTCCTCTTTTTTATCCTCCTCCTCATCCTCCTGCCCCGGAGGGGCACCATCCATAAGCGGGGTCTCGGGCCAAAATGCCCCCTGGCGCAAGCGGGGGGCACCAGGCCTTCGGGGCCCAAGCCCCCGCACCCGGGCTTCCCTTCCCGGCGGGCTGCCAAGTCCCGTGGCCTCCCCCAAGGCATGCGGGAGCTCACTCCCCGCACTCGCCGCCTGGGGACGGGACTGGCGATCCGTCCTCCCCGTTGTGTCGTGTCGTTGTCGTTGTCGTCGTCGTCGTGTTGTGGGTCCTGGGGTCCGGGCCCTCCTGTTTTTTGCCCTTGTTCCTTGGGCGTGCGGGGGGCCCTGCCCGTTCGGCTTTCCCCCTTCGTGGGGGCGGTTGCGTTCGGTTGGGGCCTCCCGCCTGCCCGCGGGGCGAGGCTTTTTCCCCGTCCCGCACGGGCGGGCTCGCCCGTCGCCCGCGTGGGTGGGGCGCCGCGGCGGCGCCGCGCGCCGATGGGTGGGCTGGATGCGCGGTGAAAAAAACAATCCTCCTCATCCTCCTCATCCTCCTGATCCTCCTCCCTGACCCCCTTTTGATCACTGCAGAAACCCACCGAGGCATCCCTCTCAGCCTCCTCCTCTGGAGGAAGACAAAACAACTGCAGAAACACAAACTGCGGGAGCTCCTCGCGCTGGACCCCCTCCCTGTCGCACGGAGCTCGCCAAGGGCGGCGCCGGAAACGCCGCCAGGAGGGCCCGGCGCCGATCCAAGCAATATGCGCGGACCTCCGCCAGATTTTGCTGATGCCGTTGTTGCTGTTGCTGGTCTTCGATTTCATTTTCCGTTGTTCCTCCTCCTCCTCCTCCTCCTCCTCCTCCTCCTCCTCCTCCTCCTCCTCCTCCTCCTCCTCCTCCTCCTCCTCCTCCTCCTCTTCTTCCCTCCCCACCACCTCTGCCTCCTCCTCCCTACGAGAACCAGCGCGCGGCAGGAGAAATTGGAGGAGAGGCGGCCCCGCCTCGAGCGAGGCCCCCCCCGGCCAGACAGCTCTGCCTCGGGCCTGGGCGGCGGGGCCCGACGTGGGGCCAGGGGCGCGACCTGTCCTCGAGGGAGGGAGGAGGAGGAGGAGAAGGAGGAGGAGGAGGAGGAGGAGGAGGAGGAGGAGGAGGAGGAGGAGGAGGAGGAGGGGGAGGAGGAGAACGGAGAGAGGAGGAGGAGGAGGAGGGAGGAGGAGGAGGAGGAGGAGAAGGAGGAGGAGGAGGAGGAGGAGGAGGAGGAGAGGAGGGGAGGAGGGGAGGAGGAGGGGAGGAGGAGGAGGAGGAGAAGAGAAGAGAACAAAGAAGAAAAGAGGAGGAGGGGAGGAGGGAAGAGGAGGAAGAGGAGGAGGAGGAGGAGGAGGAAGACGAGAAAGAGAAGGAGGAGTAAGCCGCGCCCTGCTAGCCAGGGCAAGCCGAGCCGCCATGGAGCCCATTCGGTTAGCTGACCCCGCGATGCCTTACAACCACAGGCAATATTGTCACGGCCAAACAATGGGTTACGTACTGAGACCAACGCCATAAACAGTTTCAACCGCATGTGTATCATCAGTATGCCATTTCTTCTGGCTATTCAGGTCAACAAAATGGGCTGTTTCAGCAGCACTATCAGGATGGGCAGGGCACATTTTGGCAGCACAATGTTTCACTTGAGGCTGAATAGCAAAGCCGATCGAAAAGGCGAAGGGAACGGGACTGGAGGACACACCTATTATGGGCACAGCTGGAAAGAACGATGTTGCTGAAAGACATGTTATTCAGTTTGCACAGGGATCATCAACAGACTAAAATATTGATAGTGCCAGACATTGTTAAGAGCGTTACCGTTCAATCACCCCCAACAACGTATACGTCCCGTTTGCCGACAGAACCGAACTTGACGAATTGTACGTTCTGGTACCAATTCCCACGGAATATATTGCGCAGCATGCTGGACACAGTTTCGAAACATCAGTTACAGTTGCGACAGATGTCACCATGCCCCGTTCAGGCACATGTGTTGAAGGTGTACCCGCGGCTACATATTTTACACATTTGGGCGCAGGCAAAAGCTTATGCATGGAAGGGAGAGGAATTGACGGTACGCCAGTTCCTGAGGATCACCGCGACCGACCACCGCCTTCCTATACCGACGCCCCGTCCGACAGTTTCCAGACAGGGTGAAAAGTTCGACTGCTTGGCCTAAGAAATACAGCGTGCAATGGGATAGAAGGCACTCCAGGGGAAGAAGGATCATTCGAAGTGCTGCTGGTCCGCTATCTCAAATAGAAACGTTCATGTGTGAAGCCCACTATCACTGAACAAATCGGCGGTGGCACGTCGGATATATATATATATATAGTGTCGTTGTTCATGCGGTCCGCCGAGCGTGGCGAGTACAATACTGAAGAATACAACAGGTGGGTGTTGGACAAAAGCGTGGAACCATGCCAATGCTCACGGGGACGTCGAATCTCTCATTCCCACGATCTCACTGGAGAGTAGAAAGTCGACAATACATCGATATATCTATATATAGATGTATATATATCAAGCTTTTGGTGGCGACTTTGGGCCATGACAACCACAGACACGAGAGACATCATCAAAGAAACGATCTGAGAGGCCGCCCTAACCTACACCTTCCTCCTGGCCCGCCCTTTCCTTTTTCGTAGATTCTGATCCAAAGAATGGACAGTGGATGAGGGAGAGGGAGTAGATGGCACTCGCTGCGAGTGGTCGGTTGTGCCCTCTGCATCCCGCTGTGGACCGAGCGCCTTGATGTTGTGGTGCACGTTTCGAAGAGGCGGCGCCAGAGGCAAACATGTATGAGAGGCAGTTCCTTTCACCCATCAGTATTGATGCTCGAGACGGATTGGGCTTAGTTTGGGAGAGGGAGGTGGTGATGAGATGAGGAAGTATTGGAGGAGGGGGCGGCATTCATTGCGAGTGTCTAGTTGCTTCCTCTGCAACGAGCTATGGACAGATCGCCTTGCTGTGGCCGTGTATGTTCCAGCGCAGCGGCGCGAGACACGAACAGCGGCTGAGTGTAGCCCCGCTTCTCGGACCGCTCCGCCTCCATATTCCTGGCCGTAGTGCTGGGCCCATGAGGTACGTGGCCACCAGGGCAAATCATCATGGAGTCGGCATCTCTCAGGTGAGTTGCGTGTGTGGAAAGCCGTCTTTTTCTGCCACCAGTCGTGGTGCCCAGGGTACAGATGGGAAGGTATGGGGAAGTGTGAGTGGGAAGGGGGAGTAGACGGCATTCGCTGCGAGCGGTCCGTTGTTTCCTCTGCAACATGCTGTGGACCGGGCGCCTGGATGTTTTGGTGCACGTTCCAGCGCAGCGGCGCCACAGACAAACATGTATGAGAGGCCACTTCTTTCAGCCACGAGTATTCATGCCCGAGACGTGAGAGGCGCCCGAGACATGGAGTAGGGCTAATATGTAGGAGGGGGGAGGTGATGAGATAAGGGGGAAATGAGGAGGAGACGGCATTCACTGCGAGTGCCCTGTTGCTTTCTCTGCAACGTGCTGCGGACCGATCGCCTTGATGCTGTAGTGTATGTTCGAGCGCAGCGGCGCGAGACACGAACAGCGGCTGAGTGTAGCCCCGCTCCTCGGGCCGCTCCGCCTCCTTATTCCAGGCCGTAGTGGTGGGCCCATGACGAACGTGGCCACAAGAGAGGAACAGCATGGAGTCAGCATCTCTCAGTTGAGTTACGTGGACCCATGATATCAACAAGTCAGCATGAGGAAGTACTGGCGGAATAGATGGCATTCATCGCGCGCGCCTGGCGCTCCATCTGCAACATCCAACAGACCGATAACCTTGATGTCGCGGTGTATGCTCGAGCGCAGCGGAACCCGAGACGAACAGCGGCTGAATGTAGCCCCGATCTTCTGTCCGCTCCGCCCCCATTTTCCTGGCCGTGGTGGTGAACTGGTGAGGCACTTGGCCACCAAAGCATAATACGGAGTCGGCATCTTTCAGCTGATTTGCGTTCATTGGAGGCCGTTTCTTTCTGACACCAGTCGTGGCACCCGAGGCGTAGCGGGGGACTATGGAGTTGGAGGCTGGGTTGGTGGTGGGGGATCCAGAGGACAGCTCAGCAATCGCGCGTCGCTTTCTCTTTACTGCGTTTCGCTCGGAGTGCGACAGCTACTTGAACCCTCGGTGAAGGCAATCGCAGACTGGGTCATGAGCTTGAGAGTTGATGCTGAATGTTCATCTGATCTCGCGGTGTATGCTCGAGCGCAGCGGCGCTGAATGTGGCCCTGCTCCTCGGTCCGCTCCGCCCCCATGGTTCTGGCACGTGAAGGCACGTGGCCACCAAGACAGACTGTGGAGGCGGCGTCTCTCGGTTGAATTGCGTGCATGTGAGGCCGTTTCTTTCTGCCAGCAGCCGTGGTACCCTAGGCGTCGCGGGGGAGGTTGGAAGTATGAATGGGACGGACATGGCTGGGGAAGGAGGAGTAGACGGCATTCGTCATTGCGACGCAAGTGCACTCGGAGTGCGACAGCAGATCGCAGCTACTTTAACCCTCGGTGAGGGTAATCGCAGAATAGGTTATGATTTGAGGATTGACGCTGAGGACGGCAATCTCGCAAGTTTAGGCCGCGAACGCTGGACTCCCAGCCACCCTCGGTGAGAGTTAAAACTGAGGACTGCCCTCGGTGAGGGCCCTGGCCACGTGTGGGATCGGATGGTTGAGTGGAGGTACATGTTCAGTTCAGCAAAGTGCGCGGGAAGGCTATTACCTGATGCTCAACTCTGACACGCCAGCCTGCCTGCATATGAGCAGTAGCGCACCAGTTCAGCATCGATCCAGGAAGACGACTGCGCCACACATGTGGGCCAGTCACGCCAGTCTGTGCAAACTGCGTTAGCCCTACAGATGTATATACTGCTTAGCTTCGTTGCGTCTATCGGTGCAGCTGCCCTTAGGGAAGGCACGTACCGCCCTCGACGAGGACCCTTGCCATGGAAAGGTTCAGGGGTATTTGGAATGGTGTCGGAAACAGGCGGGAGAGGAATGCCTTGCCGACGCCTGCAATCCCAATATGATATGCCCTCTCGGGCCTCTCTGCTTTTCTGTGCTCCCTCGCACCTTCTGCTCCGCGCAGTCTGCATTCAGGTGCCTTACAGTCTTACCTTCGACGCAACAAGCTCGTCCTTCACGCCTGGTCAACGTCAAAACAGGAAGAGGGAGGAAATAACAAGCAGCACGTAAGGCGAGGAGGGAGGAGGGAAGAGACAGGGGAAAGGAGGAAGGAGAGAGGGAGACGAGGAGGAGGAGGAGGAGGACGAGATGGAGGATGAGGAGAGAGGAGAGGGAGGAGGAGGAGGAGGAGGAGGAGGAGGAGGAGGAGGAGGAGGAGGAGGAGGAGGAGTGGGACGAGTGGGGATGGAACGAGGAACACGAGCCCCCGCCAACGGTCCACTGCACTGTGCCGACGCCCTTGGTCATCCCCCGCCCTATTGGCACGCTGGCGTAATGCACCTTCGCCAGGCCGAAGTCCGTGACCTCGGGCCGGAAGCCGACGGCGACGCCAACGGCGACGCCGACGCCAACGGCGACGACAACGCCGACGACGCCGCCGACGACGACGACGACGACGACGACGGCGACGACGACGACGGCAACAGCGACGGCGACGGGGAGGGCTACCGCGACGGCGACGCCGACGGCGACGGCGACGGCGACGGCGACGACGCCGACGACGAAGATGGAGACGACGACGGCGACGGCGACGACAGCGATGCCGACGACGGCGACGACCACGACCACGACGACGCCGACGCCGACGCCGACGCAGACGCCGACGCAGCCCACGACAACGACGGCGACATCGACTAAGACGATGAGACTATGACGAGAAGATCACAAGAACGACGGCGAGGACGATGATGCCAACGATGACCAGAACGAAGACCACGACAAGGGCGAGGAGGACGAGGGCGACGACGGAAGGGACGACGGCGACCGACGACGAAGATGACGACGACGACGACGGCAAGGGGGACCTGTCTCTGCTCTACCCTCCTCCTGCCCCTCCTTCATTTCACTTCACATCGCGCTTTCGAACAATGACCCACAACGATGGGAAACTGGGCCTGCGACCGTACCAGTCGACCACGGTTGCCTCAACTGCCATCGAAACGCTTGGCTCGTCCTCCGCCGTGCCGAAATCAGGCCCGAAACAGCGTGCCCTCGGATACCTCATGGAGCCCAGAGCCCAGATGCACGGATGCACGGTGAGCGATCTCGGGGCGGCTCGCGCCATGCTTCCTGCGGCCTCGGATGCGTGGTCGGGACTTCATACTTACAGCATGGCCGAAGATGGTCTCAAAGCTCGTCCTGGTGCCTCTTGGGCGCATCCGGGCCGCCGTCTTGGGAGGCCAGCCCCCGAGGCGAACACATAATTGAACAAGTCTAAGCGCCTCCTCGGAGTTAGGCATGCTCGGCGCTCCCGCCTCGAGGGCGCCCACGACGGCCACAGAGGCCCCCCAGGACTGCCCCGAGAGGGCCCCAGGGCGGTCCCCGACACGGCGTTCGAAGGCCGAGCGGCCCCCCACAGCAGGTACACCTGAATCACACGTGCCTGCTGTAGGGGGTGCATCTGAAGCATATGGTTCCGGCATCTGAATCACAGGTGTCTACACACGGCTAATCTGAGGGGGAGGAGGGGAGGAGGAGGAGAAGGAGAAGGAGGAGGAGGAGGAGGAGAAGGAGGAGGAGGGGAGGAGGAGGAGGAGGAAGAGAGAGGAGGACGAGGAGGAGGAGGAGAGGAGGAGGAGGAGGAGGAAGGAGAGGAGGAGGAGGGAGAGGAGGAGGAAGGAAGGAGGACACGGAGGAGGAGAAGGAGGAGGAAGGGGAGGAGGAGGAAGGGGAGGAGGAGGAAGGGGAGGAGTAGAAGGAGGAGGAAGGGGAGGAGAAAGAGGGAGAGGAGGAGTGAGGGGAGGAGGAGGAGAGGGAGGAGGAGAAGGAGGAGGAGAAGGAGGAGGAGGATGTATGGGTACCTTTTCTTCCTCTGATGTATCCCCCCCCCAAAAAAAATCAAATTGCATGGGCATGGAAACCTCTTCCATGACGACGCCGACCACGACGACGACGCCGACCAATACCACGACGACGGCGACGACGACGACCACGACCACGACGACGACGACGACCACGACGACGACGATGACGATCACGCCGACGACCATGCCGACGACTACGACCACGACCACGACGACGACGACGACGACCACGACGACCACGACGACCACGACGCCGACGACGAAAACGACGACCACGACGACCACGACGACGACGACGACGATCACGACGACGACGACGACGACGACGACGACGACCACGACGACGACCACGACGACGACGACGACGACGACGACGACGACGACGACGACGACGACGACGACGGGGAGGAAGGGGGAGGAGGAGGAGGAGGAGGAGGAGGGAGGAGGAGGAGGAGGAGGAGGAGGAGGAGGAGGAGGAGGAGGAGGAGGAGGAGGGGGGAGGAGGAGGAGGAGGAGGAGGAGGAGGAGGAGGAGGAGGAGGAGGAGGAGAGGAGGAGGAGGAGGAGGAGGAGGAGGAGGAGGAGGAGGAGGAGGAGGAGGAGGAGGAGGAGGAAGGGGAGGAGGAGGAGGAGGAGGAGGAGGAGGAGGAGGGAGGAAGAGGAGGAGGGAGAGGAGGAGGAGGAAGGGGAGGAGGAGGAGGAGGAGGAGGAGGAAGCGGGGGAGGAGGAAGAGGAGGAGGAGGAGGAGGAGGAGGAGGAAGGGGGGGAGGAGGAAGGGGAGGAAGAGGAGGAAGGGGAGGAGGAGGAGGAGGGAAGGGGAGGAGGAGGAGGAAGGAGGAGGAGGGAAGGGGAGAGGAGGAAAGGGGAGGAGGAGGAGGAGGAGGAGGAGGAGGAGGAGGAGGAGGAAGAAGGGGAGGAGGAGGAGGAGGAGGAGGAGGAGGAGGAGGAGGAGGTGGAGGAGGAGGAGGAGGAGGAGGAGGACAAATGGGTTCTTTTTCCCTCTGATGTATCCTCTTCCCCAAAGAAATCAAATATTGCATGGGCATGAAAACCTCTTCCAGGACGACAACGACGACGACGACGAAGACGACGACCAAGACCACGACCACGACGACGACGACGACCACGACGACGACGACGACGACCACGACGACGACGACGACGACGACGACCACGACGACGACGACGACGACGACGACGACGACCACGACGACGACGACGACGACGACGACGACGACGACGACGACGACGACGACGACGACGACGACGACGACGACGACGACGACGACGACGACGACGACAAATTTCGCGCCCCTTGGGCGCGCCACCCCCCCCCCAGCAGGCGCTGGCAGCGCGGCCTCCTGCGTTCCCGCGGGGAACTGGGGCAAAGCACGCGCCCAGAAGCTACCGCGGCTGGGCGTCGCTTGAAGCGGGGGGGGGGCGATGAATGGGAGAAGGAGAAAGCCAAACACCCTCGCATCGTGGAACAAAAACGCGACGGGAGGTTTTTCGTTGTTTTCGGCCCCCGGGGGCCCTCGTCGGGCCCCGGGGCCGTCGAAAAAGCCTCGGGATGAAACGCCGGTCGCGAAGGGTTCAGACCTCTGGGCGTCGACGTTGCGACGAAAAATCACGACGTCGGGGTTTACGAAAGTGCACTTGGCGAGCCCCAGAGATGCCCCCTTTGGACCTTAAACGGCCCCGTTTGAACGGCGTTACAAGGCCCTGTTTCTGTAACCATCGCTGCCCGCCGTAAGTCGCTGCCCCAATTACGCGACGCCCAACGCGTTGCCACGACACGCGTGCTGAATCGTCCCTCCGCTGTCCTCCTCGCAGTACCCTCCCGCTCGTGCTCCTACAGCCGAGGTGCTGCCAGAAAGAACGCGAACGCAGGAACGGGAAGGGCGTTTGCCTGGCCACGGGGGGCCTCGTCCACGCATAAGTTCCCCGAGTCCGAGTCTCTCCTGAACCCAAAGTGGTCGTTACTTCAGCGCCTCGACTGCGCATCCTCCGCCACTGGTTTGGTCGTTGAGCGGACGCAAACTGCACAGCTTACTTATGTTACGAACGCCCCGCGCGTTTTAGTTCTACCAGTTTGCACTGTACGTTGCTGGGAACTCCTGCTTGAATGGCTTAATTAGTTCGCACGGCGTTTTCAATCCCGTCGCTGTGAGTCGTCATGTTGAAGCGTTGTTGGCTTTCCTGTCAATGGCTGCTCCTTGTTTTTGCTGCCGCATTCGCTTCCAATCCTTTTCCCGCAGCCTCCAACTCCTCCCGCTCTGCGCTCATAGCGCAGAGCCAGGCATACATCTTGTTAAATGCAAAAAAGCCAGATGAATTCAATCAGCGCGTTTACTGAAACGCACTGGAGATGGTACCGGTTCATAGGCACGCTGGTCTGCTTCTCAGCACTGGCTGCACACAGCGGGCGCCTCGCGTCAGCAAGATCAAAGGCACTGGAAAAAAGGGGCAAGACAGCGCGCCGGGGAAAAGAAAGCGGGGAGCGACATGAGCACAAGCTAAGAAACCAAGGGAACGAGTAAGAGAGAGAGAGAGAGAGAGAGAGAGAGAGAGAGAGAGAGAGGGGGGGCAATACAAATCGTAACGAGATTGTGCTCACCGTCTGTTTTTTGGTGTCGGACCTCCTGAAACAAGAATGCACACTCTAAGAATAGGAACAATCAGGTTTTAAACACAACCAAGGTACACACCGGCAACTTACACGGACAGCCCGCCATGCTCGCGCGGCAAACCGTAAATGCGGCATCTGCTGTGTCATTTGATCAAGCATCACACCTAGCCGTTCACAAAGAAGTCGAAACTCTACGAGGGCCAAATCGGATCAGAGCGCAATCCCAACCAATTCTGCGAAAAAAACTCTCGTAATTGACCATGAGGCTCGACGTCCGTGAGATGGTCGGCGATCTGGCGGTCAGCCGGACCCCCAAACACGGCATGCTCGGGGTTCTCGCTGTCGAATTCCTCGGCCGCGTGGACAACTGCAGCGATGGCCAGGCTGAGGCTGCGCTCGAGCGCGGTCGATGGCGCACCCTCCTTCGTAAGAATCTGATCCAGAGACTTGCAAGCTGCGGCCGCGATGACGGGCAAAACATGCGAGGGGGCCGCGCCTGGCTTGCCTCGCCGGAAACCCTTGGACATAATCTCTGATAAGAGATGGCGAAGATAATGCGCTGCTTCAAACGCCTGCATCCATCGCCATCGCTTCTGCTGCGAAAGTGCTGCGTCTCACGCGCCAGATGCGCTGAGATCGCGAATCGAGCGGTGAGGCGGACCCACCACGAGCTGATAGACAATCCAAACCAGCGCAGAAAACCAAGACAACCAAACTGACTCCGTTTCTCTTGTGCGTTGGCCCAAGCTGCACCTGCAAACGCCACGATCACTGCGCGAGAGACAGCCTTAGCAGTCACCGTAAGACCAGCGTCCTTTGTGCAACGAGCTTCTCGTAAGATGCGGGTGACGGCCATGAAGTTGGCGATGTTAAAATTCGATATCGTCCGAACGACGTCGCTGCTGCTAGATCTGGTCTTGACTGTCCAACGATGCACTCACGTGATCCAACGCCGCCGGAGACAATTGTCTTCCTCTCTACTGTATATCTAGGTTCTGGTGTTGCCGATCTCCAACGCGGTAACGGAGCCGGTACGCGCTGCGCTGAGAATTCGTTCTGGTGCACGAAAACACTGTCGCCCGCTTACTCGGCCACGCGCCTGCCGCAGCATGCCAACTCATCGCCCCGACATTTTCAACAGTGGGGCGACTGCTTGTCCTGCCCACCGAATCAGCACCGTACCACGGGTCCACTCCACCAGCGAGGTGCCCCACATGAATACCCACGATCCGCGCCAAACGCTCGGCTCTGCAGAAGCAAAACAGCGCTTTGTCCAACAAGCACTGCTTCCACTGATGCCGCCCAAAATACAAGGGAGCTCGCGCCGCCAAAGCCTGGGGCTGTCGTCCAAACCGTAGATGGCGCGACGTACCAACAGGGGGGGCACCCCTGGGCATTCCACAAAGGCCTTCGGCAGGCTGGCGAAGGTAGATGGGCTTGACCCTCCAAGTTTTTCTGCCTGGTCGGCCTGGAGGAAGGCCGTCGCGACGTCGCCGCCGAAAAGGTTGCGGCCCCAGCTCGCCACTACCTGCAGCTGGATGTAGAAGCCGACGCGCGTGGGTGCATCGCGCCTCAGAGGCAGGATGTCCGGGTCGGTGCAGCCGATGACCACAAGGCGCGCCTTCGGGTCCGCCCCGCAAGCACTTCCTTGTCGTGGTAGCAGACCCTTGATGGGGTGATCCGCTTCCGCTTCTCGTCGCCCAGCTCAATCCACTCGCAGGGCTTGAGGTCGAGGACCTTCGCTGCTGAAACCGTCGCCGTGAAGCCCGCTCGCGCGCCAGGGCGCCCCAGCACAGCTGCTTCTGATCCTCAGGAATCTGGGGCCAAGTGATCTCCCTGATAAGCGCATTTAAGTCCTTCTGGGCCATGGCGAACTGGCCGTCGTTGGAGTGGTAGACCTGGCGGGTAGGTGCGTCGTCGTGTGCGAAGTGCTCACGATGGAACACAGGTGCGACTGGATCCTTCTCTGTGCCGCTGCAGCAACGAAATGCACCTGCAGCGGCACGAGATGGGCGTTGCGATCGAGGCGGATACTGGAGGCTCAGCGGAACGAGGTCGTCGCGCAGCAGGTCCATGAGCGGCAGCGACTGCGGGTGGAGGTCCAACCGCTGGCAGGATGGTGTCCCGCATCGCCTCGGTAGCTTGTGGCACTGTGTCCAGTGGCGCTGGATCCTCAGCGTGTGGCGGTGTTCTGGCAGAGCTGCCTGAGCCCGTGGCCCGGGGTACTCCCGGCCAATCTCCTCTTACAGGGCTGCGGGCAAGTCGGGGACCACGATGTCGGCTGGATCCAGCGCAACATCGGGAGCAAGTTCAACTCGTTCGTCGCGATGGCGCTCCAGAAGCGCCTGGGCAGCTCGGCGCAACCCGGCCGGGTCGGCATCGTCGGGGGCCCGCATCTCGGCGCCGTGGGCCTCACGAAGCTGCTGCTTCGAGACCAAGATAGGATGTCCCGACCACTGCACCCAGACCTTATTGTCGTCGGGCCCTCCGCTGCCACCAGGTCCAATCACTCGCCGGGTACTGCGCGCCCTTCTGCGGCAATCGCCAAAACGCAATGCGGTCGCCAGCCGTGAAGTCGCCGCGGTAGGGCCGGGTGACCTGGAGCATTGACCTCATGAGGGATCCAGATTGGTCATACTCGGTGAACACCATGTCCGCAAACACGCGGGCTTTTAGCCCTCTTGACAGGCTCGGCGTCAGCCGTCATTACGCCGTGAACCGCAACGGAGTTGACTGGGTCGGCCTGCCCCACTTGTTGTTCTCATCTCTCTATTCTCTGTCTTGTCCGTTTTATTCCCCTCGGGCATCGTCGCCTCTTGTAGCTCTATTGTGGCCTCTCGAGGCGCTAGTGGAACCCTCCTGGGGACCTCTGGGGAGCCCTGGAGGGCCTCTTGGGGCCATCAGGCGGTCAGTCAAAAGAGGGGGGGTACTCGATTTAGGTTCCCCTGGGGGGAGCCTCGTGAGGGGTGGCAAAAAATGGCCCAGACCACTACTTTTACGCCGGCGTGTCCTCCTACAGGCGGCAGGTGGGCGAAAAAAAAATTACTCAAAACATACACCAACATAATCCAGAAGTGCTCGAAAAAAAAACATCCCCTGGCATTGATTCTATTTCTGAATATTCCTCCTGTGCACGTCGTTCATTTCTCATCGTGTTCATTTCTAATTGTGTTCGTTTCTACTTGTTCCTGCCCCCCCAGTGGGAAGAGGCCCAGGATAGAACAATTAGAATTGAAGGGATCTTGGCCCCCAAAAAACTCAAAAAACTTACGAATCATTAGCTTTGAACAGCGTGTACTTCTCCTCTTGCAGATCTCCGCGCCTGGCGTGCGGGCAATACTTATATCCATATCCAGAGCGTCGTGGACTTGTTAGGAAGAGGTGCCGCAACGCCGAGGCGCACTGGATATGGATAAAATCAAGCCTCTTGGGGCCAGACTTTTATCCATATCCAATGCGTCTACGGTTTCTGGGGAAGAGAGCCCAAGACTCCAAGACGCACTGGATTTGGATATAACTATTGCCCGCATGGCGCCTCACCCTGGGCGCGGGGGAGCGGGCCGACCGCGGTCGGCCGACACTGAGGCTTGGCACTCCCGCGCCCGCGGCCTGCCCTAAGGAGAGGAGGCCTTCCGTGCGCTCGGAGCCGGACGTTCGACGGCTTGAGCGATGATGCTCCAACCTGCTTTCGCCTTGACCGCCAGAAAGAACTTCGAGCACCAGGAAAAAATACCGAAACTCTGAAGTTTTCACGTGTCGGGTCCCGGGAGACACTCGCCCGACACTGTTTCGACACTACTTCGACACTCTTTCGACACTTCTCCGGGTGCTCGAAATTAGTTCTAGGATGTGGTCCTTAAGTACGATGGGAGCAACATAAGGCTTGAGGGGGCCCAGGGCCCTGGGAGGAAGAGGAGAAATCACTGGGCAGAACGCTGCGGAGAGACTGCGAAGATGACGGCCCTGTGAGGAAGAGGAGGAAACTCATTGGGCAGAGCGCTGCGGAGAGACTGCGAGGATAACGACCAAGTCCCCAGGTCCCAGTTCTGCGACGCAGATCATTTCTGACGGTCCCAGGGCCCACAAATGGCTCTCACAGGCCGAAGCAGCGAAACAATGCACGTGGTGACTCGTCGTCGTCGCCGTCGTCGGCGTAGCTGGCATCAACGTCCGACGCCGCCGCCATCGTCGGCGTCGCCGCCGTCGGCGGCGTCGCCGTCGTCGGCGGCAGCGGTGATGGCGGCAGTGGCGGCGTCGTCGTCGGCGTCGTCATCGGCAGCAGCGGCGCTGGCGTCGTCGTCGATGTTGTCGATATCGTCGTCGTCGGCGTCGCCGGCGAGGGAAACCCACGAGGCCTTCGCGAGCGGCACATCAGACGGCCAGAGCAGCGGCTCGTGCAGCAGCACATTCAGGGACTTGAGGTCCCTGTGCACAACCGGCGGGTCCATCCTGAGCCCGAGCCGGCGGAGGCGGGGGGAAGGGGGGGGTGCGACGGGGTAAGCGAGAGAGGAGAGGGTTGATTTCAATGTGGCGCCGAAGGTTCGAGCTCTCACGCGTAGGCGCGGACGACCAAGTCAACAGTGGGCATTTTCAGTGCAAAATTTGTTGCAAAACAACCTGAACACATGTTTATGAATTAGATAAGTATTAATTACCCCTCGTCCCTCATTTTACCCTTGATCTGGTGTTTGTGTCCGCCTTCTCGTTGGACTGTTAGATGTGCACCCTTGGCTGCCCAAGCGCCCGTCCAGATGCTCGGCTCTTGCTTGCTTGCTTGAAACTCGGGTACGGCACGCTCGTGTCGCGAGGAATCGTTCGGCGTGCTGGTTTCTGCCACGAAGGAATCGTTCGGCACGCTCGTGAGGAATCGTTCGGCACGCTCGTGAGGAATCGTTCCACTGGTTTGTCGCGAGGAACCGTTCGGCACGCTCGTGTCGCGAAGAATCGTTCTTGCTTGCTTGCTTGCTTGAAACTCGGGTGCGGCGCGCTGGTTTCTGACACCGCGTGGAACCGTTCGGCCCGGAACGCTCGCGGGCTTCCGACGGCGGACGTCGCGCGATGCCGGCCTGCTCCGAGCCACCGGCGGCGCCCGGCCTTCTTGAGCACCCGAGCCTGGTCGCCGCCCGCGCGTCGACGCGGCGGAAACAGACCCGAGGCACGCGCGCTTCCTCGGGTCGGCGGCTGGGGCGAGCAACTCCACAACCCCTACATTTAGGTCGGGCATGTCCCCCTACAGGCAGATTTTGGGCGAAACAACAAACTCGAAAAATAACAAAAAATGCAAACAAACCAAAAAACAACAACAACAACAACAACAACAACAACAACAACAACAACAACAACAATCACTTTACCCGAACGCTCAGTGTTCTCACCAGTGCCAGGGTTTTCATGCGACGCCAGCCAATACCCCCACTTTGTGGGGGGGCAGTGCAAGCTCTACCAAATATCCACACGACTCTTCGCCACCACCCACACCCAGCTTCCCGCCCTATGACGTTCGGACACTTCACTTCGTGGCCTGCGGACGACCGTGGCTACTACACTGGCGTGGAGTACACACCCACAGAAGTTGTTAAGCCTACGTTCGTACACCCACAGAAGTTGTTAAGCCTTGTTAACCCACAGAAGTTGTTAAGCCTTCCACAGAACATCTGTTGCATATGATGCGCGGGTAGAAATTTTGAAAAGTCGTGCAGGTGTTTTTCGAGGACCTACGGTGCGATTCGTGTGATTTTATGATGCGCGGTGCTAAAATTCTTAAGAAGCCCAATGGTTTTTGGAGATTTCGGCGTGCGCGCGCGAAGAAAAAACGAATGTGTCCCGCATGGTATTATTTGACAGGGATGATGGCCCTGGCAGGTGCGCAACCGTTGTCGCAGAAGTTCGAAAAAGTTGCTCGCAAAAGCCCGTTTGACAGAAATGTTTAAAAAGTGTTGGGTTTCCTACGAATCCGCAAGAGCGCGCGGGATGAGATTTTGACATTTTTTTGTTGAAAAACCATTGGTTTTTTGATGTTTTTATGTTAAAATCGCTCCGAACACTAAGCTTTTGGAAGGATTTCGTCTTGCGCGCGCGAATGTCCACTTTACCTTATTTTTTGCAAGGGATTCTTGAAATTTGATTATATTAGAACAAGAAATGTCATTTTATAATGTTTTTTGCAAGGGAAAGCGGATTACAACAAAACAACCGGATCTTGATCACATCGAATTACCTGAGGCTTCCTCACGAAAATGATGAAAATGTAGCTGCGGCCTAGGCGGCGCAGGGGGGGCGCGCACCAGGGGGCCCAACAATAATTATTCTTTAGAATTAATAATGTTCAACAACAACAACAACAACAACAACAACAACAACAACAACAACAACAATTACTAGCACGTGGGGACACTCCGTTCTCACCAGTGCCAGGGTTTTCATAGGAGGCGGGCAATACCCCCACTTTGTGGGGGGGCCGGTTCAAGCTCTACCAAATTTCCAAACGACTCTTCGCCACCACCCACACCCAGCTTCCCGCCCTATGACGTTCGGACACTTCACTTCGTGGCATGCGGACGACCGTGGCTACTATTCAGGGCCCCGCGGCCGACGACGACGGCGTGCGCGCGCGAAGAAAAAACGAATGTGTCCCGCATGGTATTATTTGACAGGGATGATGGCCCTGGCAGGTGCGCAACCGTTGTTGCAGAAGTTCGAAAAAGTTGCTCGCAAAAGCCCGTTTGACAGAAATGTTTAAAAAGTGTTGGGTTTCCTACGAATCCGCAAGAGCGCGCGGGATGAGATTTTGACATTTTTTGTTGAAAAACCATTGGTTTTTTGATGTTTTTATGTTAAAATCGCTCTAAGGTTTTGGAAGGATTTCGTCTTGCGCGCGCGAATGTCCACTTTACCTTATTTTTTGCAAGGGATTCTTGAAGTTTGGTTATGTTAGAACAAGACATGTCCACTTTAGCTTATTTTTTGCAAGGGAAAACCGATCGTAACAACACAACCGGATCTGGATGGCATCGTTTTACCTGAGACTTCCTCACGAAAATGATGAAAATGTGGCTGCGGCCTAGGCGCGGCGAGGGGGGCGTGCACCAGGGGGCCCAACAATAATTATTCTTTAGAAGTAATAATATTCAACAACAACAACAACAATCATTTTACCCTCATGCGCCATGCTTCCACATGACACGTGCGTCCATCTGGATAACACACCCCATCATGGGGGATTTGTCCTGGCACGCGGGATCCGATATTCCCTCACCCAGATATCCCGCCCAAGGAGGTTTGGCCACCACCTCTTCCGAGGAACTTCAACATCCATAGCTCGGACGGCACATCGCCTTCGCAATCGCCTTGCGCATGCCCCGCATCTCAGAGGGAGAGGAAGAGGAAGAGGAGGGGGAGATGAGAGAGATAGGGAGGGGGAGGAGGAGAAGGGAGGGGGAGGAGGGGGAGGAAGGATGAGTAGTTGTAGTAGCAGCAGTTGATGATATTGTTGTTGCGGCTGTAGCACTAGTAGTAGTGGTAACGGTAGTAGTAGTCCAAGTAAGTAGAACTGGCTTGTGGCAGCCAAGCGTTCATAGCGACGTTGCTTTTTGATCCTCCTTTAATGTCTTCTCTCCCTATCCTTGAGACGCAGAAGTCTCAAAAAGTTGGATGGTTCAGCACATCCAGGAAACCTATCGCTGGACCGGCCCAGATATGGTTCCAGAAGCGGCTCGGGAAGCTGCGCAGGCGCCAGAAGCAGAGAAGCACCACGTACGGGCGCCGGCTCGGGCGTCCGGCCCAAAGCCGCTCCAGAATCGGCCCAGGACGGCTTCCCGGGCGCCGCAAGCAGAAATTCAGCATTTTCGAAAAAAAAATGTGTATTGGAATGGCCTCTTTTCGGCGCGATCGGAACTGCCCGGGCGTCCGGCCCGGGAGCCGGGCCGGGTGCCGGCCGGGCCGGGTGCCGGCCCGAGCTCCGGAATCGGCCCGGACGGCCTCCCGGGCGCCGGAAGCAGAAATTCAGCATTTTCGAAAGAAAAATGTGTATTGGAATGGCCTTTTTTCGGCGCCGCCTCGGAACTCGATTTTCCGGCGCCCGGGCGCCGGCTCGGGCGCCGACCCGGGCGTCCGGCCCGGGAGCCGGGCCGGGTGCCGGCCCAGGCTCCGGAATCGGCCCGGACGGCCTCCCGGGCGCCGGAAGCAGAAATTCAGCATTTTCGAAAGAAAAATGTGTATTGAAATGGCCTTTTTTCGGCGCCGCCTCGGAACTCGATTTTCTGGCGCCCGGGCGCCGGCTCGGGCGCCGACCCGGGCGTCCGGCCCGGGAGCCGGGCCGGGTGCCGGCCCGAGCTCCGGAATCGGCCCGGACGGCCTCCCTCCCGGGCGCCGGAAGCAGAAATTCAGCATTCTCGAAAGAAAAATGTGTATTGGAATGGCCTTTTTTCGGCGCCGCCTCGGAACTCGATTTTCCGGCGCCCGGGCGCCGGCTCGGGCGCCGACCCGGGCGTCCGGCCCGGGAGCCGCTCTCGGCGGCGAGCAAGAGCACCGAGCCCGAGTAAAAAAGGAGGAAGTCTCGAGCCGGAGCGTTGTTGTTGTTGGGGGGCCGGTTTTGGCGGAACCCCAAAACGCCTGAGCGTGAGCCTCAATTTCAAAGGAAATGCGGCCGGCGCCTCGGCGAGAGCGCCAGGGCGAATATAGGGGGTCCAACAATAATAATTGTTTAGTAATTAAGGTTCAACAACAACAACAACAACAACAACAACAACAACAACAACAACAACAACAACAACAACAACAATTATTTAAGACTGGGGACACTCCGTTCTCACCAGTGCCAGGGTTTTCATAGGAGGCGGGCAATACCCCCACTTTGTGGGGGGGCCGGTTCAAGCTCTACCAAATTTCCAAACGACTCTTCGCCACCACCCACACCCAGCTTCCCGCCCTATGACGTTCGGACACTTCACTTCGTGGCCTGCGGACGACCTTGGCTACTACACTGGCGCATGGGTACAGTGACTTGTTGTGGTAACATTTTGTGGAAGCTGGCTTAGTATACGACTTTTCCCCCTGTTCCAACACTGGACACCTGTACCGTTTTCCGACGTTTTTCCGTTTCTGTACCACACAAGCGAAGACACTTATTTTGAGTGGTGCCACGTGCGTGGCGCCAGCATACCACAGGACTTGTTTCCGTTGTTGTGAGACGATACATGCTCATTCTTGTTTTGTGGTTGTCGTTCCGGCCTCAATGTGTCCCGCATGGTATTATTTGACAGGGATGATGACCCTGGCAGGTGCGCAACGGTTGTTGGAGAAGTTCGAAGCACGTGAAAAAGTTGCTCGGAAAAGCCCATTTGACAGAAATGTTTAAAAAGTGTTGGGTTTCCTACAAATCCGCAAGAGCGCGCGGGATGAGATTTTGACAATTTTTTGTTGAAAAACCATTGGTTTTTTGATGTTTTTAT